TTTTTTTTTTTTTTTTTTTTTTTGGTACCTGGGATTGAATTGGGTCCCTGCATTTGCAAGGCAGGTGGTGGCACCACTGAGCTAAATCCCTGGGCCTTGTAAATACATTTTTAAAAGTACGATACATTTGTCATGTTAGTAGAAGCATCTACAGAATATTTGCTTTATTTCACGTATATCCTGCTCTCCGGGGCTGTAGCCATCATCGGTCCGTGTAGCTATTATTGTATGTCAGAATATGCTTCAGATCTCAGTTGCCTTTTTTTTATTGTCATATTGTTTTATCATATTATGTTTTTATCATATCTGATTTTAAAATGTGATTCTGTAATTATCAAATGGGGCACGAGTTGAAGCAAATTGAAATGCTGACTAGAAGACTTGTTCTCTATTGTGAAGGGTGAGAGAGGCACCTTTTCAGAAGACAGGTAATGAAAGAGACGCACTTGGTGCCACAGCTAGTCTATCTAGGTCTCATAGTTCTCAGCAAGTAAGGAGGGCCTGAGCTGCAATGTGGGGCTTCAGATGGGTCAGGCAATGTTGCGGTTGAGATCTAAAATATCCCTCAAATGTTCCATGTGTTCTGAGAGGGGTATTAAAGAGTGATGGGGTCACGGGAGCACCATATTTGTAAGTGAGTTCATCTGTAGATGAATTCCTAGCTGAATGTGCTGTTAGAAGGTGGGGCATGGTCAGAAGAGGTGGGTGACTGGGGTCATGGTCTGCAAGGCTACACTCTTGTTCTCGTTGTGTCTTCGTGTGTGTCTCTACTCCCTGGGTGCCGTAGGATAAGCGGTTTTCCTCCACCCATGCCCTTCTACCATGATGGGTCTATCTTAGAACAAGCTGACCATGGACTAAACCCTCTGAAACCATACAAAAAAAATTCTTTAAATTGTGAGTGCCAAGTATTTTGTCCCAGTAAAGGGAATGTGACTAACATGCAGGGTGGATTTCTGTTATAAAAATTAGATGGCTGAGAGACGCTGTAGAAGAAGAATTATGGAAGAAAGTACAAAAAGTAAACCAGGCTTGTAGCCTATCACAATTTTTCTCTGTGGGTGGCTGAAATGAGAGAAAAATGAGGGGAAAAGAGATTAACACCAGGACAAAAGGCCGAAAATTAAAGGAAAGATTGAGAAAGATTCACAGCTTTCTCACTATCCATGTCGCCAAGGATTCCAGAGCATTTATGGGCAAGTTCCAGATCAGACCTGAGCGCTTATGTGTGGCTAAGGATTCCTTGCCTCTTAATCATAGATATGGATTTGGGGTGGCATTATATCCTTTCAACAGCATTCAAGCACTCCTGTGTGCTTGTGTCTCTATTCTAGAAATATCTTCTATTATTGTATTAAGTAAGAATCAACATTATATCAAAGAAGAGTTTGGTAATTATAAATGTTTTGGAAACTATAGGTTAAACAGAACATCTACTTTCTAAGATGTTTAACACAAGGTAAGAAAGATGACCATCTAAAGAGTTGATGCACTGTTTCCAAAGAGTCCACCAATTTTTTATAGTCTCTTCGGAAACTCCTTTTGTAACAAACAAACTTGAGTTAACTGGGGGTATTGTCTGATAATGGGACTCCCAGTCCTGCCTGTGGGACTCCATTAAATTATATCTACTTTCAGAACAGAATAGGGAGAGCATTAATACAGCAGTCCTCACCTAAGTCGTGTTCCTTTCCTATAGTCAACTGTGATATGAAAACATTAAATGGAAATTTCCAGAAATAATTCATAAATTTAACTGTACATCATTTTGAATAGTATGATCAGTTCTCATTGTCTTGCTTTGTTCCACCTTGAATGTGAATCTCCCCTTTATGCACTGTATCTAGTCTGTATATGGTACCCTCCTATGATTTAGTAGTGGTCTTGATATCAGATGTACTGTAGTAGTATGGTAGTGCCTGTTCTAAGGTAACCCTTACTTTTACTTAATAATTATCCCAAGGCACAAACTTTTATTATAGGATATTGTTATAATTGTTCTAGTTTACTATTAGTTATTGTTAATTGACTGATGTCTAATTTATAAATTGAACTTTATCATATGTATTTATGTATAAGACAGATGTAATACACAGGGTTCGGTTCTAATTGTAGTTGGGGATCCACTAGGGGTCTTGGAAAGCATCCCTTGTAAATAAGGGGGATTACTGTATTTCAGATAGACAATAGGTATGGGAAAATCTCATCCCCTCTTAGGAGTAGTCTTACTTTCTTTATCATTGAGGCAAAATATCTGACACTCACAACTTAACAGAGGAAAGATTTATTTTAGCTCATGCCAGCAGTTCATGGTCAGCCATCTCCAAGACAGAATGGCAAGGTGGAAGGGCTTGGTGGAGGGCAGCTGCTCACATCATGGCGGCCAGGAAGTAGAGAGAGAAGGGAGAATCCTGTGAGAGAGATAAAGCCTTCCAGATCATACCTCTAGTGATCTTCCACTTCTGGCCAGCCTTACCCCCAACAACACCCTCAGTTGCTAAACTGATCAGTGCCTGCATCTAATGATTAGAATTTTGCCCTTATGATCCAGCCACCTTCCAAAATCCCAACCTCTGAGTACATGAGAGTTTGGGGGACATTCTCGATCTATACCATAACAAAGGTCATTATGGAGGAAAATATAGGGGCATTTTTCATTCCTAAACACTTCTTACTGCCTCCACTCAGTACAGCCTGTGGCATGAAGCCTTTCCTAATCTCTCAGCCAACTCTTCACTTCCACGGGACTGTAACTGACCCCTGGTATGTTTGAGCTTTGCATATATGCTGTGTTTTATGTTGTTTTGTTTTGTGAGTATTGAGAGAAATCTTAGTCTTTTGAATCAAAAGACTATGGTTCAAGTTTCTCTGTTCTTTGATTACAAATACTTGCAATAAACTATCATTTTGTTTTGCAAACTAAGGTTGAAGATAAGCGACAATCAAGGGTCATGTGAGGAGGATGAGAGTAAACATGGATGACAAGTCCTTCCAGACCCATCTACATGGAATGCTCAGCAAATGTACTGATGTGATAGCAGAGGGCTCATAAGAAGTGTTATTATATATGCTTAAACTCATCCAGGTTTTTAAAATGCACACTCTAGTGAATTGAATTGAAATCATAGTTTGCAATGGAGAAATTTAACCCTATAATATACTAATTAAAGGTCATATGGTTAAGAAATATCCTTAAGAATTAGAATATTGTAGTCTGTTTATGTCCCAGAGTTCACATGTTGAATCTTAACCCCCAAGGCAATGATGCTTAGAGGTAGGATACTTGGGAGGTGATGAGGTCATGAGGGTAGGACCCTTACCAATGGGATTAGTGCCTGTATAAAAGAAGCATAAGTGATCTCATTCTTCCCTTCTACCATATGAAGACACAGCCAGAAGGCATTGCCCATGTCCCAGGAAGCAGGCTTTCACTAGAAACTGAATGTGCACTGGGAGTGAGCTTCTAGCCTCTAAAGCTGTAGAAAATCAATTTCTGTTGTTTGTAAGTCACCCAAATCATCATATAACAAATATAGCATTCCAAATGAACTAAGATAGAACTAAACATCTTCTAAACATATTCAAAGGAATAATAGTGCTACCTTGGCATGTGATTAGTTAATGAATTTTAGCCTAAAGCCTTAGAACAAAGGGCAAGGAGCTCTCTCCCCTAAGAGCACATTTCCTCCTGTCCAGCTCTTCTGTTTCCTGACCATCAGAACGCCTGGCAGAACTGTTACTGTGCTCATGTTCAGGTCTCACAGGTTTCCAGCTGGAGTTGGAGATCCAGTGCCCTCTCTCGCATCCACTGTGATTAGGATGGCTCTGTGGACTCCCATAAGCATCATTTCAGAGAGAGTGGATGGGATGAGCTAGCCAGGGATTTAGAATCCCCAGACCCTGCTCCAGTTACAGAAGGTAAGCTTTGGTTTCTTGTCTAGTTGAAGGCCCTTCATAAAATTTTGTCTGAGAAAAAGTGTAGCTATTAAAATTAAGGTTAGAAGTTCAGTGATCTGGCCTTCAGAGTTGAGTGGTGGAAAGCTGAAATGATGCTGCCACCCTGACTCTTGAGGTGACCCCTTAGAGCTCCTTAGAGGGTTTCTTGGTTCTGTGGATGTAGTGGAAATGGGTTTGCCATGAGTAGAGGATGCCAAAGCATTGCTCACACAAAACCCTACTTCTACTAAGCACTTGATTTGAACCTTTGAAGGACACTTACATTTCATCATTATTTCTGTGTGGAGTGTCCTTTCTCTCCTTCACTCTGAGATACACTGGCTCATGGCACTTAGACACTAAATCCCTCATCACTGGTGTGGAATTCCTAGCCCTAAAGTAGTGACTTTGGGATTGGCCATACATCTATCTGTTCTGGACAATGGAATACAGCTAAAGTGGCAGTGTCCAATCCTGTGCTAACACCAAAGGAGCATGGGTATTTCTGCCTCCATTTCGCATGCTGTAGTACATGTTCACTGGAGAAGATGCCTCACTGAGTCACTGATCTAAGGAGCAGGAGACCCAAAGATACATCTGGACTCAAGCCTTAGTCTTAAGATACAAGCAAACCATGGTCTACTTACCTGGGAAGATTTATTTGCAGCACTATTGTGGAACTAGCTGACTAATATATTCATTTTCATTGCCAATCCCTTATTTCCTGAGAAGAAGGCTTTCATCTCTGTTGCAGATGCCCTTCAAGTGCCTTGTTCTTTTGGATCCAATATGTAGTTAAGGCAGCATGCTCCTGTCTTTGTGGATTGTGGTCCTAAAAGGAGATAAATACGACTCCACTCATTTTTCTATGTCCAGTCCTCTGCAAAGACTGTGTCTCATGGTTGATCTTTGACAGATGTGTATGTAATGCAGCATGGTACTCATTAACTAATGACTCTTCATGCTTTGCTTTCCTTTCTTTGTTTTGGTCTTTTAGGATTGAACATCTTTTCTTTGCCTCTGCTAGAGGCAATCCCAGGCAAGTGGGATGGGAAGGCAGGCTGTAGAATGTGTGTCACTGGGAAGCAACATAAGCAGCTGGAGCCTAACCCCACTGGAGAGTGCTGGGAGCCCTTGTAGACTTCACCTTGGAGGTATCTCTCCTCTCTCCTGTAAGGGGTTAGAGATGACACACCGGTCCTTTCAGTCATGACTAAGGCCTTTTTGGCCCATGAGGAGTTGATAACCCATGAGGTGTTGATAACCTGGCACACAGCAATCTGTTCCACACAGGGCTCAAGTGGGCTCTGGCCCTGAGTGGTACGAGATCTTCGGAAGCTACACCCAGATATAACACTATACATTTGTTATTTTTATTTATGTATTCATTTTGGGGGACATGGCCTGGCCTTGCCCAGGCTGGCTTCAAACTCCTGGGCTCCAGCATTCCTCTTGCTTCAGCTCCCCTGTAAACATTGCACAAAGTGTCCCTGCCAAATGGTCTCTCAAGAAAGTTCTCTGCCTCTCTGGTCGCCTTTTGTCTCTCTACCACTCTCCAACAGCACAGCAAGGTGCAGAGGGGCTTTTGAGAGCACCTAGTGGAAGGGCAGGGGGCTTTAGACCTACAGGCACTGGACCCCTGCATGACTTCTGTTTCTGTGTTGCTTGTCCACTGTGTGAAGTCACTGAAGAATGATGATGCCTCCAGCTTCTTGGGGGCAGGTCTCCGCATTCCCCCCCCAGCTATTGGTTTCAGCTTTTTGCCCTCAGCTCCCAGGCCTTGGTGTCCTTGAACATCACTGCTTTATGATGTCTGTGCCCACCAGCTTCCTCACCCCTCCCTCCACCTCACCTCTCCAGAGGAGAGGAACTTCTGGATCCATTTTAGGACATGTACAAATCACAAGGAGGCCAGAGCACCTTCAAGGACACCCATCTACCTATCTTGTTCCACCAGCAAGCACAGTGACACTTCCTTTCTGCACTGCATTAGCTAAATTATCAGCTCCCCGGGGTTTCAAATGGAGAAAGGGGGATGATTCTTTGTCTTTTCTTTCGATGCCTAATGCGTCCCTGACATCACTGACTTTTCCCCTCATGGAGAATAATTCAGCATATGCTTCTCTCTGCTAGACTCTCCCCTCCACAACCTCTCTTCATGGAAGCTCAAGAGGATAAAGGATATGTTTTACTTTATATCATATCCCTCTCCCTCTAGCCTGGGAAATGCTAAGCTTAAATGTTGCCTTGTCCAGACCTGGCTCTTAATGGAACCTTAAAAATAAAAAATTGGCAATCTTTGCCATACAAAATGAGTATCTTGCTGCAGATTTGAAAATTCCATTCTGGCTGTCTGTATAATACTGAATCTTTCTTCTTTTTCATATGGTAGCAAACCTAAATATCCCTGAGGCAAATGAATGCCTCTGGCAGAGTAAGGAGGAGATCAGAGTGAACAAATGCAAAAGGTAAAAGAGCATTAATATGTTTCAACAATGTTGTCCCCATTTCATTACAGCCTGTATATTTTTTTGAAAAGCAGTTCTATGGTCAGAAAAAAATTCAATCAATCTTGCCTATTCTGTTTCCTTTGTTTGTCCCTTGGATTTTTAGTAAATTCAATTTTCAACCACTGTGCATCAGTCACAATGTAGTTTTCTTTAAAAAAAAAGAGAGAGAGAGAAAACCTGTGCATACTGATTTAAACACAGCCGTCCAGCCTCAGTGATGTTGGATGAGCAGCTTAGTAGATTTCCTGGACACAGTCTCTCCACACTCCTGCCATCCTTGCTGCGCCAGCTCTGTCCTTCTAGACTCAGCCTAGTCATATCAAATGCCACCTAGTCATACCAGATGCCATATCCACATGGTGATTTCTAGAGCAAGAAGGAGGCTTTCTCCATTGTACCCTCCTTTGGACAGGGAGCGCCTGCAGCAGACATCAATGGGTGCTGTTCTGCTGCCATCTTTCTACAAGGCTGCTTTCATCTCTCAGCTGCCAGGATTCTCCTCACCCCCCAGAACTGCTCCCTTCTAAAGAAAGCTGTCCTGCTCAAGCGCACATCCCCCGAGTGAGATCTGTGCCCTGGGGCATCTCATAATCTGTGCTTGCACCCTATGGAGGCCCAAGGGTGTAAAGTCCTCACCTTGATTTGGCACGCCCCTCTGTGGGATGGTCTGTAGCTTCTGTGGCAATTGCATGGAGTTTAACTTCTCCCCCTGGCCACCTTCTTGCTCATTCCCTTACACAGACTGTCCTTTGGATCACTATCCATGAGCCGTACATACAAAACTTTGCCTGACTCTACCCAAGGAACATCCTAGAAAAAGTTCTCATGAGTGACGGTCCTAAAATTTGGGCTTTACCATGCTATAGACCAGCTGCTGGCAGTGAAGATCCCCATATATTGTAGTAAAATGGTGGGGACTGGTGGCTCTTGCTCATTAGTAGTGGTACAATCATTAAAACTTCTATCAGTGGTAAAAAGAAGGGAGACACCAAAGAAAGGGGATGTAGGAAAACACCACTCTCGGGATCTATCTCCTTCTCCATTCATCCTGGCCACCAGACTAATAGCCAGGGCCACAATCTGATGTATCTAGGGAGGTCCTGGGATGCAAGGAGAGGGAAGAAACTGAGCAGAAGGAGCTGTGAATTTTAGCCATTGTGTGCGATCACAACATGGAAGGACATGTGTGTGCATGGATTCTAAGTATGTTGGCTCAAGAAAGGGAAACATAGAGTTGGACAAGAGTTTACTCATACAGAAATATCATTCCTCCTTCCAGGTCCATAGGTCTTGAGAAAAGAATCATCTACATGGCACAGTAGGCCTCTGCAGGATGTGTCTTGGAATCTTGGAGTGACTGCACACTAAATGACGTGAGAAGGCTAGAACTGCCACAGCAGGTGATAGAAGAGGAACTGATAGGCTCGGAGAAGTGGACATGCTTAGGATGGCTAGGAAAGTCCTGACTGGAGACACACTGTGGAAGAGCCTGGAAGGAACACTGATCTCACAAGCGGCAAGAGATGTCCGGGTAAGAGAGCGTTACTAAGGAACCCCAAGGTAGCCTCCTTCCTCTTGGGAAGCTTAGACTAGGAGACACTGCCAAGAAATTGAACTCCCTATAGCCATGGAAGCAATAAGGCCCGGAAATATTGAAGACCAGGTGGTGGTGTGGAACAGCTCAAAGCAAAGTGAATGCAATGTCAATGACCATAACAGACAATGTGGTTGGATGGCAATCAGAGGGGCCTGGGCTACAGACAGCTGTGGAAGCAATTCATGAAGCAAGTGTTCCTGGGAACAGGGACGGAGAGCCAAAAAGCGGCTGGCTTCATCTATAAAGCCAAAAGAAGTACCCCATGTAAACATTTTGCAGAGTCTCACACTGGTCCACTGTATTGGTAACATGTTCACCAGACATAATGAGTAAGAAGTGGAGGGTATATTGGAGATCTTGCAAAACATGAGTATTCTAGAGAAGGAGATAAACCTAATGAAGATCCAGGTTTCTAGATAATCTGGGATGCATCAAGATATCTTAAATAGGCACATTATGGGTGCTTGGTCACCTCAGAACTAAGAAGGAAACACAATGTCTGCAAGCCCTCCAGGGCTTCTGGTACAATATATGCCATATTTGTGCATGACTTTTGTTCTATACATGAGTGACACAAATGTTACTAGCTTTCAAGGAGGCCCAGCACATAAGACAACTGTGCAATAGGTGTGTAACAAGGTGCAGATGCCTTGGATCTCGGCCACACAACCCTCCATGAAGACAGTGCCAGCTATTTCAGGGGTGGGAAAAGACATCTCGTGGAGTGTATAGCAAGGTATGGTAAAGGGATTGTGACATAGATCCCTGGGGTTCTGGAGTAAGGCCTTGCCTTGTACAGTGGAGAACTATGCACTATACATAGGCCACTTCTATGACATTTAGTGGCTCCAGTAGAGGCACAGTGCCTGACTATGTGGCCAATACTGTCCCTTGTTGAGTTCAGATCTGTCAGAATTACAAGGCAGAAAGTAGGGTGGGCCAGACAGCAATCCACTGTAAAACAAAGGTGGCCCTTCTGGCATTGGAATATGTTTGGCTAGAAAGTAAACAGAATTATCATGCAGTTCAGATTCCAACACTGTTGAGTCCAAGCCACTTCCTCAGCTCATAGCTTTGGCCAAAAGAAGGTCTCAGTGATCAGCCAATGGAGGGGGAAATTTAATTTATGAATATTTTTGATTATATAAAGATTCAAAATGGACTAACTCTGTACTACAGCTTCACTCAGGGTGGCCCTAAAGAGAGAAGAAGGTGGCCATTCTCCCAAGGATCAATTTTGGGTAGTTTAGTTGGAAATTTACTTAGTGTGAAGAAGTAGCTTGATCTAAGAATATTCATGAATTTGTGGGTAAGATGTGTGAGTTGGCTGGCTGATCAGGACTCTCACAGCAGCTAAGGAATGGATGATTTGGGTTTGTGACCCAGCCAGTTGCACTGTGTGCATCCTGGGACTCTGGTTCAGAGGATGCCATAAGGTTTCTAGAAAATAAAAGATGACATTGAGGTCAAATTCATTAGTCATACTGGCTAACAGGATAAACAGATTTCTTTACCTTGGATGACTGGGGAGGTCTCTGCATCATATGAAAGCCATGATGCCCAGAGCCTACTGTAAGGAAGCCTGTGCTTGTTTCTCCTTGGCAGTGGCCTGTATGGGCTGTGCGGACAGGTAGCAGCACCTGGCACCTGCATGTCCTTATGTGATCAGAGACTGAGTTGTGCAAATGGGCGGAGTACTTCCCTGCTCAGACAAAGCTTTCTGCTCTAGAAGTTTGCTTCTCTTACCAAATCAGGAAACAAAATCAGATTTTTTTTCCTTTGTAAACATTATTTTACATTTTTATTATAACTCTTGATACATATTAATTGTAAAATTAATGGAATTCTCTGTAAAATTAATGGATATATGTATGCAGCATGAATTGATTTCTCACTGAACTGTGTGCTTACTGGTGCTTTCTACAAGGGAAAGGAGAAGGGTTGCTAAGTCATCCGAGGTGCCAGGACTTTGTCCACTGGGTTTAATTCCCCCCTGTAAATTGAGCCCTCACCTGTCAATGGTATATGTTGCCCAGAATGCTTACTAAAACCTGTATTTTAGGTTTGTCCTGTTTTCATTTTTTGGCAGTTTATCCCATTAGGAATAGTCATAGTAATATGTTGAGTACTCAAGGAAACAGCTTCTTAAATATCTAGTGATGATATTTTTATGCAAAACGCTAAGCAATGCACTACTAATTGGACACTGTTATAATTACATGAAGTAAAAAACCAAGTAATGTTATAACGGGCTTTTGGAAGTTTTAATGCTCCTAATGTCCTTCTGGCTTTCTGTTCCTTGGGTGGGTGGGGGTTTGCAGATTTGAATGGCCTGGGTGAGCAAAGCCATAGAGGTACCTCCCACTCAACAGTGGAACTTCATGAGGCCTGTGTGGGAGGTCAGCAAAACGGGGTTCCATAGTGGGCACGAGAAATCCAAAATAAATCTAAAGTTGTTAGGAAGCAAAAATGCCTCAGAAAAGGAAGAAATCCAGTTTCCTCTTGAAGCTGCTCAGTGGAGTCCCCATTGAGGGCATGGAAGTACACCCTAAGAACACACATGACCAACACTAACATCTGTGGCTTGTGAAGATGTTGTGATATTGAATGTGCGACTCACGTCCCGGGATGCTACTTCAACAGAAGCCTAATGACCTTTCTGTTCTTCTCTCAGGACCTATGGTGAGATTCTCAAACACCATCATCTGCTATCAGCTCTCCTCCTTGCTTGGAGCTAGTGTTGATTTAACTATCATCTAGAGCTTCCTCTGGATGGACATTGAATGAGTTGCTTTCTTCTGCGTGCTTAGGGAGTGCACTGTGGCTGGTATCCAGGAGGAAGGTACATGTTTAAGGATTCAGTGAGCTAAGACCTAGGAGAGCAAGTACTTGTGAGTGACTAAAACATTTAGGGTGCAGAGTGCCTCACTCTGGGCATTCACAACATTGATGACTTTGATAGAAGTAGCCAAAGAGCAGGAGAGAAAACTTTCTTTCCTTTCCCATCATTGAACTATACCTCTAGCACAGGAGTGAAACAATTTAAAGCAAAGAAACATATGGAGTTTTGGCTGTATCTCTGTCTTTCCTGGGAAATTTTTCAGTTACAGTGGGTGAGTGGGGGTCATAGCATCTGAATGGCCAAGTAGTGGGAGTCAGCAAGGGCTTGCTGCTGGGATTTTTGGACAGGACGCCAGTCCCTACAACCACTCCATTCCTCCTCCCAATCAAGTAGAGCAAGACTTTCACTAGTCATGTCCAGAAACCATTTTGAGTAATCTGGATTTACTTAAGGTGGCTATAATTTCACTGAAACATCTATTTCTGCATATTTTTCTTTACAGCCTTTGACAAGTTTCCGAGGTGGTTGTGGAATCACAATCTAGTTGGCAGTCTTCACAGAATCCCATCTGTATGAAGATTTTGCACATGACATTGTTCTATAACAATGCCTGCCTAGTTGACCTGGAGCTCTAGAAGTAAACTATGAATTGAGTGTCACCATATAGACCAGGATCTCATCCAGCATTGGGTAACATGAGAGCAGTGCTACTAAATTGTGCTGCATATTATGCCCTAAATGTCATGCCTGCTTTGAAAATTCATATGGTGAAGCCCTAATTCCCAATGCAAGTATGTTTGGAAATAGGCCTTGGAAATAACGTGGGAGTAATTCCAGCTAAATGAGGTTGCAAAGGTGAGGCCTGATCCAGTTGAGTGAGTGCATTTACAAGAGGTCCTCTCTCTCTCTCTCTCTCTCTCTCTCTCTCTCTCTCTCTCTCTCTCTCACACACACACACACACACACCCCTATGAGGTCATATGAACACACTGCAAGGTGACATCTGCCTATAAACCCAGAGAAGACTCCTTAATATGAAACCCTTGCTAGCCCCTTAATCTTGGACTTCCTAGCCTTGGAAACTGAGAATAAACCTCTGTTCTTTGAACCCTTCATTCAGCCTCTAGTATTTTGCTCCAGTAGCTCAAGCAGACCGGTGTACTCTATGACTAAGCACAGCACAACATTTCAAGCCGGCAGTTCTAATAACAGTTATAACTCCAGTAACAGACTCACCACTTAGTGATGACTTGCCACATGCCTGGCTTTGTTGATTATTTCTAACTTCCATTCATCTTCCCTCCTGAGGTAGTGCCTTTCCTTGTTCTGGCTGAGTGCTGGCGGTGATCAGCAGGGAATTTTGCCCATGACTGTGAGGACATGTGCTGTGCTCCAGCAAACTGCTGTGACATCACTTTGCTGAAGCTATGACAGAAACGTGGGGGGCAGCCACAGTTTCATTTCTCTTTGGATTCATATAAGTTTGATATTATATTTCTGCTTCCTTGTAGTATATGAGGGCATGTGAACATTTTTGGGGTTAGGAGTTGATCACGTAAATCTTCTGGGTCCCTGCTGCAATGTCTTTGGAACAAGGTGTTCCAGTGGGAAGTTGTGTAATGAATCCACTCTTGTTGTTGGAATTTCAGGACAGAAGGAAGGTCCCATCTGGGAACCTGTCCTGCAGTGATTCTTTCCCCTCCTGAGCACCTTCACTTATTTGAGTCTAGATGATTCTACCTTGAGCAGCTGACACCTTCATCTACTCATCGGTCTTTCACTGCAGTTACATGTTGGCTTGGAACATAATCCTTTCTGGGAGCCCTGGGACAGGTGCCCAGACAGAAGCAGGAGTTGCAGCATGGAATCAGAAGCAAAGAAACAAGGAAGCCACCCCAGGGCCTCTCTACCTTCGGGATTTAGATCTGGATTTAGCACCTCTCCCAGGCTGCATTTCTCCCTGACGGAATATTCCTGTCCTCTCTCCTTGTTGTCCTTCTATTTCAGCTCATGTCTGAACAGATTATCAATCCAGGTTTGCCTGTTGCCTACATGAAAGGGTCAGGCAGGAAAGCAGCAGAGACTGGCACCGTGACACAAGGTCGTGTTTCCAGTGCAGACAAGAAAGCAGAGGGTCTGTGTTTCTAGCTGTGGGAATTGCTCGCCTTGTCCTGTGATCACAGATGGGTGACTTTTGCATTGCCCTGTCGCTGGCCCTTGAGGGTCACTCTTTCTAGTGCCATGTAGTGGCAGTCACATCTCTACATGAAATGCAAACCCATAGCCTAGTAGAAGTGGCACTGGTAAGAATTCCCCAGGTTGATTTTCAATATAGTGTCATTTGCAGGCTAGAACTCTTAATCTTCAATGAAAAGCTGCTAATTTCCCCTTTCTTTTTTAAAACACAGTCTGAGTGAAGGTGTAGTTATTTGGAAATAACCAGTGCAGGCAGGTCACATCATCTCCTTTAAGGTGTCAAGTCCTGTGGTCAGCCTTGAGCACAACCTGAAGTGGTTCTGCCATAAGGCTACGATATGGGTTCTTTTCCTGGGTTCTATTGAATTTGACCTGCAACTACACTGGCACTTTTCTTTTCTTGATTTGCACATTTATGAGCCTCAACATGGTATCTGGAAAACAAGAATAAAAATGACAGCAAAGTAAATTCTTAGGGATGCTAGACAGGTTTCAGTGTAGCCTTAGGAACCAAACAGATGTCTTCCCTCCATGGACACCATCCACCGTTCTTTTCTTGTAGAACTATATCTCTTCATTTCTGCTTTCCCTCCCTCCCTCCTGATTTCCTTCCTGCTGTTCCTTAATATTCCATGTTTATTGCTTGCACCCTCGTTACTCGGTAAGGAGTCCTTTTATTAATGACTATCTATTTTAACCAAGTGGGGTAAATTCTCCATCTTGCAATAACCCTGTCCTGCAGTTTTTACGAAAAGTTAGGTGGATGAGTTTACAGTGTTTTTTGTTAATTATGTACCTATAGATGTAACCTGTATTATGACGTTTCCAAGCACGCCTGTGAGGGGAGTGGGAATGCAGGAAGTGTCCTTCCACACACCCGTATGAAAGCTGGGAAGAACCCACACACATCATTAGAGCTGTGCCTGGGCTAAGGCTTGTCGTATTGCCCTGTCTTGCTTCCCTGGAGCTCCTCCTCTCTCACTCCACCAACTTCACCAGCCCCTACCACACCAGCCTACACAGCGGCCTCCAGTACAGTTAAAACTCTGATTAGTGAGAGGCTCCTTGTCTCCTGAAACACACACCTGCTCTATGACACTCGACACAGTTTCATTTTTTTCCCGTTTGAATGTGGCTTTAAGTGCCCATCCGCATCAGACCTTGTTGGGACTTGTATTTAGATGTCCCTCGAAGCCTCATGTGGTCAAAGCCTCATGAGACTTTTTCAGAGGTAGCTGGGTCTAGAGTGTGTGATGCTGGGATTGATTCATGGTGCAATGCTAGGCTTGAGGGCACTAGGATTAAGGGTGTGAGGGCTACCTGCCCTAAGTAGCTCAGATAAAATAAAAGGGGCATATTTATCCCATAAATACACAGAATTCAAATTCTAAAATTTCTAAATGAAATCAGGGACATCTGTGATATACTTACCGGCGTACTGTACACAGATGAGGACTTTATACTTGAGACTTTGCTGATATAAACTTCCCAAAGTGAAAAGCACACAGAGAAAAAGTCTAAAAAAGTCATTTAAGTGCAGGATCGCTGTATTCACAGGTTCTGCCCTCACTTTAGAGGCAGGGTAAGCATTGCTGAGCACAGACGTGTTTTTCCTATAATCATGCAAGAGATGAATCAGCCAAGTGGAGGAGGCTGCTCAGTGCAGCAGCTCAGAGCCATGCCCTACTGTCAGGTGGCATCCACAGCTATTCCAGGGCAGCCAAAATAGGGGGCACAGCCTTGCTGGTTTCCCTATGTGTATTGCTCAATCTCTATTTCATGGAGTTATGCAGTGCAGTCACTGGGCTCGTTTAGACCAAACCTTTGGTTTGGTGCTCAGTGTAGGGTTACTTGAAGTGAGTGTCGCATAAGTGGCATTTCTACAGAGTCAGCTTAGTGCCAGGTCAGCAGGTGTGACTTGCATTGCAAACACCGCCGCCATGCTGTTGTCAAAACTGAGGACTGGAGAGGAGCCAATATTTCCAGTGCTAGGGATGGGAATTGTGCAAACCAGGTGTGAGCCTACACGAGCGTTTGGAAGAGCAAACTGCAGAAACTGGGAGGTGCTCACATAGTCAGCCAAACCTCTGAATCCCAGACTGGGTGCTGTGCAGCTGTCATCATCAGACAGGCAATCTGGCAGGGTGAATACACCATGCGGCTTCCTAGATGCTTTGTGTTTCGAAGAGGACAACTAGGGCCCCTCCTGGTTTCCCGTGTTTTGGAAACTTGACTTTACAGTCCCAGGCTATACTCTTGCTTCTAGTACCTACCCCATTTATGGACTGATAGGAGGGCCTTAAACTGTTTTCCTTTGGAAAACATATTGCATAAACCCAGCTCCCTGAATGGCCCCATGTGAGTTACATAATAGCTCTGCTTTAAGTCAGTCAAAACAGAACCTGCCTCCAAGGCTGCCATTAGCAGGTGCTGGTGCTGCAGCTTCAGAGGGAGGGTAATTACTGTTATTGGGAGGCTCTCACAGAGAATGTTGAGACTCATTTTGCAAGAGGCAGTGTTTATTGAAATGCAAATTGCCCCATGCCTCCCCCGCCCCTCCAACTTTGGAAATCGAAGAGAGTTGTGAAGTGTATGTTTAAGACAACCAACAGTGCCATGGCTTGTAGTCGAGGTCTTAAATGAATAAGGTGCCTTTTGGCAGTGCACACGACTTCATCCTCGTTTGTCTTTTGGAAGAGAAACATCAGTAAGGATGGAGCTAAGCCTGCCTATGGACAGAACGTGGGCTTTGTATCTCAGACACTTCCTGGAGAATGAGCCCAGCGTCAGTCCCCAGAGCTACTACAGAGCAGAGGCCGCTATTGAGCACTTGAGCAAAGTGACTCCTATGAATTGAGATATAAAACACACCAAGCACTGCACACTTAGTATGAAAAAAATGAGAATTAACACATTAACACTTTTTGATACTGATTCCATGTTGATATGAGATAAGATCACTCACTTGTACTATGAAATTGCTTCATCTTTGACATGGCTTCCAAAAAATTTACAATTACAAAAGTAAATGAATAGAAAAATTCCAATTGCGACCTGTTATCACATCCCATTTCTGTCAATCAGGGTTGGTCGGGATGGAATGAGAGGCCTGGCTAACCCTTTACCCTCTTGATCAGATCCACACACAGGGCATTCTGCTTCTGCTGGTGCTCCTCCAAGCTATCCTACTCACAGCACGGAGGTATCCAGTGTGCATGGTGTAAATGCTCAGGGCCTGGGTTTTCCCTGAGACACCATGTGAGCTGTCTGGCTGTGTGGAATCTTCCAGCAACCCTGCTCCTGGGACTTGTGGTCTCTTCTAGGACCAGGCTCAATCCCTGCTATGCACAGGCTTCCCTGAGTCCTCTGCTCATGAGCAGACTCAGGGTTCTTCTCTGGGTCCTTACTGAGCCTTCTCTGGATCCTTACTGTGTTTGTGTACATTACACCCTCAATATTGTGTTGAAATTGTTTATGTGTTCATCTCCTCATTAGACTGCACTTTCCTCGAGGGTAGGAAATCACATCTCTTTATCTGTATTCATGGCACTTAATAAATATTTGTGAGCTGCACCTAGACTAAACGAGTCTGAAGGTAAACAGCCTGGTTGCCAGCATTTCACCATTGCACAACACCGTGACTTTATTTTTAATTTTTTGTTTATTATGATTGCTTTAATAATGGAAACCACTGCAGGGAGTAAACCCAGTGGCCCTCCTCTGCAGTGAGAAGGAGTCCAAGGTGCACTTTCTTCTCCTGCCTGGTGGCCACCTTCCCTGGAGGGCTCCTCGCCCCTGGCCAGGGGGGAATTCCAGAGTTGTTATGGTGGACTGCTAGGAGCCACGACACACCTGTCAGCCCAGCTGGGATGACCTTGCTCACACCAAGACTGGAGGGTGACTGACGGCCTGCCTGTTTGTGCAACAGATAGAAATCACCTTTGTGCCACACAGGGCTGTGTTTGTGTCCTTAGATTGCAGGGCTGCTTGGGGTTGGGGAGGCCGTGTTGCTTCATCCAGCCTGCCTTACCTGACCCATGCAGCCCACAGGCACAGTAGGTACTTGGTGGTTCCTGGAACTGGCTTTGGCTGGTTTTGCTCTTATCATACGAGACCATGCACAGGGCTCTGTGTGCTACCCACTTTCTATGCACTGTGTGGACCCAGACAAGATACTTGTTATCAAGATAGAGCAATGTGAGTACCAGAATGAATTAGAAGAGATCCGCTCCCTGAGAAAGGCATTTTCTGGGGATGGC